AGTATATGAACTATTTAAAAAAAAAGATATAAAATCGAAAATAATATTTCAGCATCAGCTCCAATTGAGGTATTGAAGGGATATCTAATGGATATAAATCTGAACAAATGGAAACAGGAAGGATATAAAGCCATAGGAGACTTTTTTATAGATAAAACCATAAAGTCTTTCCAAGAAATATATGAATTGAATAGCCCTTTAAAATCTTAGTTTTTAGCATACCAAAAAATAAGAAACATTTTGAAAACTAAGTGTATTGAAGCAGATCTTTTTGATAAAATTGTATCGATAAAGGGGAAAGATAAGATAATTTAAAAAATAATTAGAATATTATACGATTATACTCCTAGGAATAAATTAAATAAAATTAGTAGATGGGAACAAGAAATCAAAATAGATTTCTCTGAAGAAGATTGGGTGAAGGCATTTAAACTAACAAAAAAAACAATACATAATATTATTATTTATGAGAATTACATCAAGTATCTACATCGGTGGTACATGGTACCAGTAAAACTTTTTAAATTTCAAAATGGTTCTAATGATATTTGTTGGCGCTGTTATATGTTTAAGGGTACACATCTTCATATATGGTGGGACTGTCCAAGGCTTCAAATAGTAAAAATTAAATTGGAAATGGTAATAGGTGGAATTTATGGAATGAATATCCGATTAACATCTTACACATTTTTATTTCATTTAGATTTACCAGATAGTAATATATATTCTCATAGGTTGATGGTACAGATTATAATGGCATCAAAAATATGTATGGCCAGGCGATGGAAATCTAGTATGGTCCCGACATGGACGGAGATACAAGCTCAGATAAATTATCAAAAAATGATGGAAAAAGCAGTGTATGTTAATATGGGAAAAAAGGAATATAGAATATGGAATTCCTGGGAGAATCAAGATTTTTCAGAGGTGACTTAGAAGGCTGATTCCCTCTCCTCCCTCTCCTCCCTCTCCTCCCGACAGTGCTCAAGAATGTAAGAGTTTAGTATGATAGGTTGAATAATTGAGGTAGAGTGTAGCTACATCATTTTGTTTAAATATAAATATTTAATATAGTATGAAATTACAAAATAAATGTTTCAACAAATGATGATATGGTATTTGATATTTGAGCTAATTATGACAAAGATATTATGAATTAAATACCATTATCTGATGTATAAAACTAAAAAAAAAGAACAAAAAAAAAAAGAAATTAATGCAAACCGTAACGCCACATTGATACATTTTGGCTGAATCAAAATGATTCCACTTATCAGCTGCTTTAATATTGGAATAA